TAGGTGGTGAGATTTTGAAGCTCTTGCCATTTTAGACCAGGATGTTCCAAATTTTATCTGTGAAATATTGGGGAAAGGGGAAAAGAGTAGGGTGTGTACATTGTGCAGCTGTCCCTTGTCACACCAGAGCTAGAAAGGAGTGCTAGCAAGCAATCATGTTTCACTCCATGCCATAGAAAACTGAGCCAACTGACATCTGCAGGTTTGAAATCTCCGTTTAAAGGAACAGGAATACCATTTTTGGTCTGATTGTTTTCAAAGAAGTAGCTGAGTTAGTATGTTGCAGCACAAACAGGAAGTTAAAGAAGCGGGGAGGAACTGGGTATGTTTAGCCTGGAGAAGAGACATGGTGCTGGAGAAGAGTGCTAAGAATATCATGGGCAGCCAAAATAGACAAACAAATGGGTCCTAGAACAAATTAAGCCTGAACACTCTCTGGAAGCCAAAACCGAGGCTGTTGTGCTTTGGCCACATCATGAGATGGCATAAATCACTGGAAAAGACAATATTGCTAGGAAGAGTAGAGGGCAGTAGGAAGAGAGGAAGGCCACATGCCAGATGGATAGATCAGTGAAGCTTCAGCCCTGAGCCTGTAGACCTGAGCAGAGCAGTGGAGGACAAGAGGGCTTGGAGACGTCTCATCCACAGGGTTGCCATGAGTCGAGGTTGACTCAAGAGCAGTGGACAATAACAATGTCTAGGAAGGTTGAAATGCTGTGCAACTGACTTTACGGTATTGCCATTTCTATAGTCTGCTCAGTGATCTCATCCTCACGAAAGCCAAAGAGGAATGTGGAGATGTAAAGCTTTGACTATTTCAATCCTCACATGCAAGGACGTGTGGAATTTGCAGTTTTCTCCCTACTATGTGGAAAAACAAATATTTCCATGCAGCTTTCCTCTGGTATCGCATGACTTCCAATCTGGCAAGGACAGTCTTGAATAAACTTCTGTCATCCCACTTTTTCAGCTGCTTTTAAAACATCCCAGTTTCCCTCTCCTCTCCACATTTCCCTCCATCATCCTTAGCTTACTTTTCGTCGCTGCAGAGAGTTCAAAGTGTGAAAGTAGTATGCCTTCAGTTAACTCAGAAGAAGGGAGAGGAGAGGAAGGGGTGGAATCTTGCCTTTTCCAGGAGGCTGAGACAAAAGCAAATTGCTGCAGCATCTCCTCACTCGTGTGCTGTTCCTCATGAATAAATAGCCTTTGCTCTCTTGAGCACACCGATGTTGCTTGGCCGCAGGTTTCCCAGTGAAATATTGGAGGCTGCAGTATTAACATATCATGAAGTGTGCTGGGGAATTATTTTGTGCACAGATACATGGGAGTTTTTTGCACAGAAAAAAGCATGTGTATATAATAATAATAATAATAACAACAACAATAAAATTTATTTTTACCCCGCCCCTCTGAGAGCAATCGGGGCAGCTAACAACATGTTAAAATACCAATACAATCAACCCCTATACCCTCCCCTAAAACAGTATTAAACCAATACAGATTAAAACAATACAGATTAAAACCAAACACAGATAAACCATTAATACAATAAAATGGGAAGCTGGTGATGTCATTTTTATGGCTCAGGAGAAAACTTCTAAAGGACTCTCCTGAGATGGATTCCTGAGGCCGGGATATCTATCTTGGAAAGGCCTGC